CAACAACAACAACAACAACAAGAAGTCAGGTTATCAGTACTACAACTTTTAGATCAACAAGATCATTTTCACAAACATCAGCATATTGACTGATGATTTCATTCATTTTATCAACTGGATTTCCATTAAGGAGAATCATGACCTTTTCTTCTTTTTCCTCCCTCTCATTTCTTTTATTTTGTGACTACTTCTCGACTTTCCCAAACGGTGTAAAAAAGAAGTCAAAGTAGCCATACTTTGAAGCTTGGGAAAGGCTCTAGAAAAATGGTGACTCATTGTAATATAAAAATCCTTGCACAGGCTGCAAGACAGTGAGGCCCAATTACTCATAATAACCTCGCCAGCCTTGAGCTCCATAATCAAGTGTGGCTTCCCTAAGTTGCATGTTTACTTGCTATTACTGTGTCCTTCAATTCCTCTAATTGCAAATGCAGAAATATAAGAGGATTGTTGTAACTGGCAGCTCCGTGTAAAAACACTACATGGGATTATATTACTATAAACATAGTCTTTAAATATAATGTGATTATTTCATGTTTCAAGTTTACACTTTGTGAATGCAAAAAATTTCTTTCGGTGACAGCTTGATTAATAATTTAGTTCAAAACTAAACACGAATTTTCGGGTACTCATGAATATTTAAACACATTTTTAAAAAGCTGTAAGGTTATGCAACAGATGTAGCATCTATACCTGGAGGCATGTGTCAAACTTTGAAAGATCTAAATTACTCATACACCTGGGAACATGCCTAAATATGTCATTCGTGATCATTGGTAGATACAGATCACTTTACATTTATTATGCACTAGAGGCATATTTTTAAAAAGTGTTACCCATTAATTCCCTGATGAAGAAACAGGGCAACTTGCTATCCCCCCAGGGTGTGGACTCAGAAACCCCAAGTCCTGCCCCCAATGATTTGATGAGGGAACATTCCAAGGGATCAAAAAGTTCTTGACCAAGAAATGTGGACAGCAGCCGGGTGCGGTGACTCACGCCTGTAAACCCAGCACTTTGGGAGGCCGAGGCGGGTGGATCACGAATTTTCAGGAGATCGAGACCATCCTGGCTAACACAATGAAACCCCGTCTCTACTAAAAATAAAGAAAATGAGCCGGGCATGGTGGCAGGCGCCTGTAGTCCCAGCTTCTCAGAGGCCGAGATAGGAGAATGGCGTGAACCCGGGAGGCGGAGCTTGCAGTGAGCAGAGACCTTGTGCCACCGCCCTCCAGCCTGGGCGACAGAGCGAGACTCCGTCTCAAAAAAAAAGAAAAAAAGAAATGTGGACAGCCATGTTTGGGGCAGAGCTTGGTACTTAGTTGGCTGTGTGCTTTTGAATAAGTCCTTCAAATTTTATGAGTCTGAGTTTCTGGTTCCATAAAATGAAATGGCTGGATCAGTCACTCAATAACCTGTGGAGTTCTAAAATGTTCAGAGGCCATACTAGCAACTGATTGCTTGTGTTGATCTAAGTCCTGTTTTCCAGGTTGTCTGGTTGGAACAGATCAAATGAGTTCTTCCTGCTATATACATGACACCAAAATGACAATAAAGATGCTTTTGAGCCGGGTGTGGTGGCTCACGCCTATAATCACAACCATTTGGGAGTCCGAGACTAGAGGATGGCTTGCCTCAGGAGTTCCAGACCAGCCTGGGCAACATATGGAAATTCTGTCTCTACAAAAGATTTAAAAATTAGCCAGATGTGGTGGCATGTGCCAGTAGGCCCAGCTACTTGGAAGGCAGAGGTGGAAGGATCATTTGAGCCCAGAAGGTCGAGGCTGCACTGAGCCATGATCATGCCACTGAGGTCCAGCCTGGGTGACAGAGCAAGATCCTGTCTTCAAAAAAGGAGAGATGAGGCTGGGCACGGTGGTCACATCTGTAATCCCAGCACTCTGGGAGGCCGAGGCGGGTAGATCACCTGAGGTCAGGAGTTTGAGACCAGCCTGACCCACGTGGTAAAACCCCATATCTGCTAAAAGTACAAAAAAATTAGCTGGGCCTGGTGGCAGGTGCCTGTAATCCCAGTTACTTGGGAGGCTGAGGCAGGAGAATCGCTTGAACCCAGGAGGCGGAGGTTGCAGTGAACCGAGATCGTGCCATTGCACTCCAGCCTGGGCGACAGAGCAAGACTCTGTCTCAAAAAAAAAAAAAAAAAAAAAAGAGAGAGACAGAGATGCTTTTGTTTCTAACTGACTTTCAGTCCCATCAATAGCAGGAGTCCATTGAGCTTAATTTTGGAGGATATTCAACTGGGCGCCCTGGAGAAAGGTTACCTGGACAGTAAGATCTTTGGGGAAAGGACAACTATTTAAGAAATGAATGGAAAGTGAGGATGCTTCTCAGTTTCTTTTCTTGTGGAAAATAATACAGAGTCCACTGCTTTTATTCTAACTTGTTATGTGTAAATAATGACCCAGTGGGATCATTACCTAAAATGTCCACAGGGGCTGTCTATGGAGGAAAGAACACTTGAGAGGGAATTGGGAAAGTGCCAATATCAAGTACTGCCTTCAACTCTTACGCCCTTGATCAGGTCTCTCCACCACCTTTCTGGGCCTTAGTTTCCCTAACTCTTAGATAACATGGTGAACTCAATCATTTCTAATGTTCTTTCCAGATGTAGCATCCAACAATCTGTGGGGGAGAAGTTTCTCCTCATTTTTATAAGCTATACCTTGCAAATGAATTGTAGAAAACCAGATAGTGAAATAAGCCTACCAATCGGGATAATGAATCTGCTTTCTTCACTAGGATATAGAGGAATCAGAATTTGGTATAAACTCTATGAAAGCAATATGATGGACCAAAAAAAAAAAAACACACACACACACACACTAGGTGCAATATAGTGGGTAAAAACAAACAAACTCAAAAACAAACAGAAAAACTCTAATGCAATATTGCAGGCAAAAAATGATGTCACAACTTACCTTACATCATTTAATTCATAATAAACATTTCTGCTTTCATCTTTGATGTAAATGGCGACACTGGGCGATTCCAGCATTTTCATGGTGAGCTGCTGTGGGAAGGCACTTACGAAGAGAGCACGGATTGTGTCTGCACTTGTGATCTCATTCGGCATCCTGAGCTGCTTGGTTTCGTCTCCATACTGGAGATAGAGAACCCCTGCACACAGACGAAACAGTTACTAGTCACAGGTCAAGACTGAGGGGATACAGCACAAGCTGCGCCACTTCTTTCCTGCTGCACCTGGGAACACTCAGGACCAGCTTGGCAAGCATGTAACAAGATATCTAGTTTGGAATTTCCAAGGAATGCACTGTTTGGTTATTGCATAAGTACCCATCTTCATTCTTTGAAGTCCAAGCAGGTGTTAAAGAGCCTAATTTTCAACCATTTTAAATTCAAGGGCTGGGTGCAATGGCTTATGTCTGTAATCCCAGTGTTTTGGGAGGCCATGGCAAGAGGATCACTTGAGGCCAGGAGTTCGAGACTCACCTGGGCAATATAGTGGGATCCCATCTCTTTGGGAAAAAAAAAAATAGCTGGGTGTGGTAGCACATGCCTGTAGTCCCAGCTACTCAGGAGGCTGTGGTGGGAAGATAACTGGAGCCTAGGAGCTGGAAGCTCCAGTGAGCTGTGATTGCACCACCGCATTCCAGCCTAAGTAATAGAGTGAGACTCTGACTCAAAAACAAACAAACATGCAAGAAGCAAACCTCTGATAGCTTAAAGCAAAAGACAATACTTGGCCAGGTGTGGTGACTCACGCCTGTAATCCCAGCACTTTGGGAGGCTGAGGCAGGTGAATCACTTAAGGTCAAGAGTTTGAGACCAGCCTGGCCAACATGGTGAAACCCCATCTCTACTAAAAATACAAAAATTAGCCGAGTGTGACGGCACACACCTGTAATCCCAGCTACTCAGGAGGCTGAGGCAAGAGAATTGTTTGAACCTGGGAGGCTGCAGTGAGCTGAGATCACGCCACTGCACTC